GACTTCCAGGGTCTGGTTTTAAGGTGAGACCCCTCCCCATGTCGAATTTGCGAAGATTGCCATGGCTCGAAAGGATGGCCTTTGCCCGGATAACTCCGACAAACATACGTGCAGTTTACGACGTGAGGTGCATCACTTGTCACGACGATTTCACTCCCTTTTTGTTCGCATACTATGAGTCCAGAATATTGGGAATGAATCTCGTGGAATTTCAAATATGTACGCCCTCCTCACTTTATGGAAGATTTGCTAAAGAGAATAAAATTTTCACAGAATAGAAAAGGTGCTTTCCAGAGTTCCATGCTGACCGACGCTGCCTCTTCCAGTCAGTTGGTTAATGCTCACATCGAGCCCAACATGGGCGGATTGCTTGCATGTATCTCATCTCACATCTCAAAACGAGCAAGCTCTTTAGTCATGGACCCAGCGGCCACGGATGGAGCGGGCCTTGAGCCTCGTGGGACCGACCGACGAGGAGATGATGCTCGAAACCTGGCTGGCGGCGACAGGCTTGACGAGGAAGCTCTTGCTCTTGGCCAGAGTGCTGAGCGCGCTGGTGGTCTTCAGTGAGGGAAGGGCACCGCTGCCAGAGGCCTTGTTGACCTCGCACGCGCGGCCAAGGGATGAGGAGCAGGCAGACGCGGCGGCGCTGTCGGGGACGTTGTATACTGTGCCCTTGTTGCTGCTGGAGGTGAAGGGATTCTTGACGGTCTCGAAGACATTGCCCTCAATCAGAGCAGTGGCTCCAGAGTAAACGTCAAAGGCGTGGCCCTGCATGTTCTTGAAGTAGTTGTTGGTGGCCTGGAAGGTTCCGGTAGTACCATCCTGGCCGAGCTTGGGTGCGCGACCGGAGACGTCGTGGTAGTAATTCCTGTCCAGGGTGACGCGGTCGCCCTTGCCGTAGAACATCATGGTCCAGTAGTGGTCGCCGTTGCAAGACGCAGAGGTAGTCGTCTGGCCGTCGAACTCGCTGTTCGAGACTGTTACGCGAGATCCGTCGTAGTGGGTGACGATGAACATGCGGCCGACGAGGGAGATCTTCATGTGATCGATCCAGACACCGTCGTTGCCGCCCTTGAGGTCGATAGCATCACCACCCCAGACGATACCAGGGTTGAGGTTACGGATCTCGAAGCCCTGGATGATGACGTTCTTGGCGTTCTTCTTGATCTGGAGACCCTTACCGTTGAGAACGCCGGCACCGCTGCCGATAATGCTCTTGTTGCTGCCGACAATGAGGGGCTCGAGTCCGGCCTTGTCGTACTTGATAGAGCTGACAGCGACGTTGTCGGAACCTCCGCACGAGAGGGTTCCAAGGTAGAGTTGACCTCCGTTCTTGGCGCTGCAAGACTTACGGTCGCAGCCGGAACCTGTGGCCTTGGAGCCAGTGAAGTCCCAGGTCTTGTTGATAACGATGGTGCGGGGCACATCGTCAGCCAGGAGCTTGGCCAATTCGCTGGCAGACGTGGGTGCAACGGCCTTGGCGGAACCGCCGCCCGTAACACCGGTAGCGAAGCCATAGGCCTTGCCGACGACGGTCTGGGCGGTAGCCGCGGAGGCCATGACCATGGCACCGAGGAGGTAGTTCAGATGCATGGCTGTGATAAAGAATGGATTGTGCGCGCGGCAATGTTATAGAGGGGATCAGTGGGTAGTGTTGATATAGCTACGCCGGCGCAAGCTAGTGCAAAGTCAATAGAGCTGAAAGAATGGAAGGTGTTGCAGTGATCTGTCAAAAAGAGTGAATGAACGAATGTGGTTGAAGAAAAGGTAGAATCCCACAAGGTCTGCTGATGTTGGCCTTTAATGCATTTGGCGAGTCTCTCCCGTTCGGCCAGCGCATCGATGAGGCTTCAGGCCCCTGCGTCCCTAGATTGTTTGCGTCGAATGCCGAAATCCTGGGACCGCTCGATCAGCAGCATCCCGGAACATTGCTCAAAAATGTCCCTTGGGACCGTGGTCCAGAGCATGGTGGGCCCATTGCAACAGGCATTGCCATGATCAAGCGTCAGTGTACCTCTGCGCCTCGCTCGAATCGGAGCCGAACGGCGAGAGACTTGCCAAGAACGTCGTCAAGCTAGTCCTGATGCCTCATTCTGAAACGCCCTTCCTGGGCCTCCGATATTACACAGGACTGGGCCCCTCCAGCCTCATGGCACCAGCATCTTGACAGCCCCTGACAATGTATTGAGATTGTGGAGGATTGCCGCTCAATGAGTCGCTGCGATAATGAATGTGGGTTGTTGCTGGAGCCTATACAAGATCACGGGATTCCCCGCCGCCACGGAGCTCAATTGAGGGAGGCTCCATTCAAGAACTTGTTTCACGTATGTTGTCAATGAGCTGAAGGGTGTCACATAGTCACTCAGTTAGCCTTTAATTCTGCATTGGCTACTTTCCCATGAGTCCCGATTATGATAGAGAATCTCATGCCATCAAAAAGCTCCTCACGACTTGATCAAACCTTAGATCCCCGCCGCGATCATCGTCGTACGCCATTAGCGAGCAAGGATGATTTGCTGGGCATTTCTTGATCGACTCTTACGCGGCTGTTAAGATCCACGTCCGCGGCCTTGCTCATTCATTTGACACGGGCCACGTGCTGCTTTGCAAGAGCTGGGATGTCGAAACGGCTGAAAGGATGAGAAACAAGAATCTGGTGCAATCAGGCGTCTGCCTCGATGATGGATGCGTGGTGCCGTTGAGCAGAGTTATCCGAGGTCTGCTGTATGTTCCGGGCATGGAATAAATCCTCATGTCCTAGTGCGGATGCCCCATTCGCGGTAGATACCTGACGTTGCAATTGGGATGATTTAAGCGACACCTAGGCCGTAGAGATCGATCAATACACGAAGGTTTAGAGTTGATGTACTACCGTTAGTGACCTGCGGATCGTGACACGAAGTCGAGGCCGATACGACATCATTGTCAAACCTTGTGTCAGTCGTATCGATGCGGTCATCAGCCTCAAACTTGCGATGCATGTAAACAGCCCTCACTCCTGGTTCAAAGACGTCCCGGGTGTGGCGCGTCTTGGCCACCTTCATTCGCGTACACCGTCAAATGATACGAACTATCGTGTTCCGGAGCGTGGCAGGAATGCTTTGCACAGGCAGAGCTATAGTCACTGTTGCGCCGTAATGATTCATCTGTAGAAACTGGGAATGGGGCTGCTGGAGCATGATAGGGCACGAGACGAACTAACTGTGCCATTGGAGACCTCCTGCCAGGCAGCGAGCAGTGGATTCCTCCTTTGATAGGCAAGGTCTTGGTACAATCACTGTCCATTCAGCTGTGGCGCCTCTACGAAGGCCAACGAGGCTCACTCAAACTTCCTAACAGCAATCTTGCAACATTGTATTGCATGGTACCGGCCTCCATAGCTGAGCCTGACGTCAGCCGCGATGCGCCCGATAGCAAAGAGAACAAAGTGATGCGAGGCGCTGAGAGGGGTGGGAGGGATCAAGGTGCTGTAGGTCAAGTGGAGGTGCAGGCTGATTGGCAGATCGATGGCTGTGGTCACTCAGACGTAACCTCGTGGACCCTCAAAGCTCGATTCCGAACACTGGCGATGCGCAGGTCCTGGGGGGCTTGTAGTGGTACGGACGGATGTAGGAGGGAGCATTTGCCGGCTGATCCATTTCTGCAGCTGGACCAACAGATGGTCGCCATTGCTCGGCAGATACATTCTACTTAGGTGAATAGGCGTGTGATTTACCTCGCGGTAAGTTTCGATCGTCGTACTGTGGGGGAAATCCCGCCGTCTAACGTGCATCACTGCGGGCGGATACCCCACCACCCCCAGACGCATACCACACACGATCTTGGAAGCAGCATCGCGTACGACGTGAGGTAGTCAGATAAAAAATGCCAAGTTGAAACTCAGTGAATACCTTGATGCTGGTCGAGGGGGTATAAAATTACAGAAAGTTTGGCTTGAACTTTTAATGGACGGCATGGTTCGGTTTCCAGTTCAAGTCGAAACCTTTCTTATTCCTGCATTCACCATGCCTCACGCCCAGCCTCGCCGCCTACCCCCTGGCTTTACCAGCGAGGATTTTGCCGCTTTTGTGAAGGCCATTATACCCATTGTCGGGGATGAAAACTTTTCCATCGTCTCGGCCGATGTAGAGCTGAAAGATGGAGACTATGTCAATCCTTGCAAAGCCCACGACATGCACGCCGTGTACGACAAAGAATTTTTCGTATCATGCGCCGTCGTTCATCCGAGGACTGTCACTGAAGTTCAAGAAATCATGCGGCTCTGTAACAAAATGCAGATGCCTGTCTGGCCTTACTCTGTGGGCCGCAACACCGGATACGGAGGAGCCGCACCACGGGTCCCGGGTACACTCGGCATGGAACTTGGAAGACACATGAACCGAATCCATGAAGTCAATGTTGATGGGGCATATGCTTTGGTTGAGCCTGGAGTCACATTCTTTAGCCTTTATGACCATCTTGTGAAGACTGGTCTTGATGAGCAATTATGGCTAGATGTGAGAGAAGGACGAATCTCTCCCAATGTTGAATAACCCTCGTTCTCTGACACTTTCCAATCAGGTTCCAGACCTTGGAGGCGGCTCCATTATTGGTAGGCACCAGTCAGACTTCTGTGCGTATTTGTCGAGGTATTCGACTGACAGGCGCAGGAAATACTCTGGAAAGGGGCGTTGGGTATAGTGAGTACCAAACTTGGCCAGTTATTCAGAACTTGGAACTAAACCGGCCTGACAGCTCCATATGGTGGTCAGTAGCTCTTGAGCTTACCATTAAGCCCTCTTCCATCTAACATTTACAGACCATTTCATGATGCATTGTGGGATGGAAGTCGTTCTTCCAGACGGCACTCTCGTCCGCACCGGCATGGGGTCGCTTCCCGATCCTGCTAGTCGGAACTCGAATCTTTCAGCCGATCAACAGCCACCGAACAAAGCTTGGCAGCTGTTCAATTACGGGTTTGGCCCATATAACGATGGCCTTTTTACCCAGAGCAGCCTTGGTATTGTTGTCAAGATGGGAGTTTGGGTGAGTTCATCATTCGTCGCAGAGAAGCCCATGACGTCAGGAAGGCCTTGTTGCTAAACACCTGCTTTAAAAGTTGATGCCGAATCCGGGAGGCTATCAGGCATACATGATTACTTTCCCCCGTGACGAAGACCTTGGTGCTATTGTTGACATTATTAGACCTTTGCGCTTGGTTAGTTGAACCCTCTGTTCTTTGCATGTCTGGTCTACGATATTTCTAGCATTCCACTAACGAAGAGAACTCAAGCAAATGGTGCTTCAAAATGTTCCCACCATCCGCCATATCCTCTTAGATGCTGCTGTTGCAGGAGACAAAGCCTCGTACACGGACAAGACAAGTCCTCTATCAGGTGATGAGCTGGATGCCATAGCAGCAAAGCTAGACCTTGGCCGGTGGAACTTCTACGGCGCAGTCTACGTATGTCACTATCCTGATTATTCAGATTTCCATTGCAACTGCAGAATGCTGTCTAATTCGACTCGGATTGCTCTTCTCGTAGGGGCCAGAGCCGATCCGAAGCTTCATGCTTGAAGCTATCAAAGGAGCCTTTTTGAAAATAGACGGCTCCAAGTTCTTCCTTCCAGAGGATCGGACCGAGCCCCATAGTGTACTGAAGACAAGAGCCAAAACTCTGCAAGGAATTCCCTCCTTGGATGAACTTCGCTGGGTCAGGCAAGTCCATCAAGTCTATTCAAAGCCTCAGAAGTCACCACTCTCCAGAACTGCACGAACTGCGAGCATCACGTCCTAACGTATTTGAGCACAGCTGGCTGCCAAACGGAGCCCATCTTTTTTTCTCGCCGATCGCAAAAATCTCGGGCAAAGATGCAGAGCTGCAATACCGCGTCACAAAGCGCCGCTTCGCAGAAGCTGGACTTGACTTCATTGGTACCTTCACCATCGGCATGCGCGAAATGCGTAGGTTCCCCATCATGTTACGGCGCACATCATGATCTGATCCCAAGACTGACACGACGACAGACCATATTGTGTGCGTGGTATTCAATCGCGAGGATCCGCAACAACGTTTGAGGGCAAGGTGGTTGACGCGACAGCTCATTAAGGACTGTGCAGAGCATGGATGGGGCGAATACCGGACTCACCTGGCATTGATGGATCAAATCGCTGGAACCTATAACTTCAACAACAGCTCTCAGATGAAGCTCAACGAGACCATCAAGAATGCTCTCGACCCCAATGGGATTTTGGCACCTGGTAAGAACGGGATATGGCCGGCCAAGTACGATAAGAGGGCATGGGTACTTGAGAAGGATGAGGCGGATAAGCTGTTGTTCGCTGGCATTCCGATGACCCGACTTTAGCATCGATGGTTGAGATGTATGAGGAAGTATGCTGCCAGTAGATCGTGAATAGGCCAGGCAGACACAACCATTGTGGTTCGACATTGAGCAAGCTTTCCAAGCTTTCCAAACCGTGCCTTATAGAGAGCATGAATTGTACACCGTGAGGTTCCTTACGTACCGCATATCAGTTCAGCGACACTCGAATTACCGAACCGTCACGGATACCCGGCCTCCCGTAGTTCTCATGTAGTACTCAGCTCTTCCTGGATAGCGCCCAGCTAGTGGCGACTATAGCGACCCCGCAGATCCACAGAACCCAGGTCGTCGGCATAAGAACCCGAGGTCAGCCCAGTGCTCCGTCAGCCGGGTTTCCTTCGTGTCTCGGGATTCAACACCAAGATGATTTCGAGCAGATCTTCTTCGTCGAATTTCCCTTGCCACACGTGCGGCAGAGCTTATAGTCGCTTGGAGCATTTACAGCGCCACACTCTGCTACGTATTTCACCCTCCAAATTTCTACGTCCCGCCTCCTTCACAGAGGTGTTGCTGACATTGCGTTGATCTCAGATACCAGCTCTCGGCCTTTCAATTGCGAATTTTGTTATCAGTCATTCGGTCGAAAGTCAGTCTATACCAATAGAATCGTTTCTAAAAAGTACCTGGCTAACAGACTTTCAGAGATGTTTTGCAACGTCACCACCGAGCCTGCAAGGTGCGCCTTGAAGCCGACTTCGAGGTGCCTTTACTTTCACGAAACCGATCAGGCAAGAAACGGACGGCTTGTGATCGCTGTAGGCTTCGAAAGAGGGGATGTAACTCCGAACTACCGTGCCGGAATTGCAGCAAGGTCAATGAGCCCTGCACCTACCAATGTTCACTAAGCGGCATCGGCGAAGAGGCTGGCACGAGTGCTAAGAGTGCATCCTCTGGACACGGTATAAATGAGCGAGAGCATGAAATTTTTGACCATCAAACTCTCTTCGAGCAATCACCAAGCTTAATTTCTTCCGCCAAAACATTGTTCTTCGCCAACGACGAAAGCTTTCGAGACGAGGGCAACGTGATTACACTTGATATTCCCACAGAATATCCAGAGCCTGAGTTTCCGCAGTCAATCGCCGCTTGGAATGACAATACAATCATACTCGACAGCTTCTCGACGACTGGGCAGTTGTACGCATCCTACGAGCAATTTCCAAGGCAATTTATGAGCAGCCCTGCGGAACAAGACGCTTTCGATTTCGCCTTCCTGAAGCGACTTACCAGCTGCTCTGGCCTTGCAAAGATATTCGAGTGTGGATCGCCTACAGAAAGACAGCAACTACTTAACCTGGCCTCCATGCGACGGCAATCTTATGAGGACATTACTGCCCCCTCCATTCTCAGCGAAAGCT